AAAACTCAAATTAAGGGAACAATGGATTCTGAACGAGGAAACAGACGACGCGTCTGCCGAAAGTCTTATTCGATAGATCCTCCTTCTCCTGCGGCCTCACGAACGCTAAAAACGATGCTTGATACGCCGCGCCGTGCGCGCCTTCTTGCTGACGCACGCCACACAGCTGGCAAACTGCCTCGTACGCAGTTGTTTAAGATACATAATGTATCTAAAGCAACTGGCTATCGAATCATAAAAGAGGGTCCTGCGCGCAGTAGCGAGAAAATCCATAATTAAGGCTGAAAACGAGTACTTGCTCCACACAAATGTGAAGCTATTAAGGCCGTTGAAAATGCCAGTTTTGGCTTTACTTTATCAAAAGCCACTTTAGGGTGGCACAAACTATTAGTATAGCAAATAGCTTTGAATGTGTAATTTAAATAAATATAAAGGATTTTAGTATAAGAACCTATATAGTTGCGCAGAAAAAAATGCTTTTATAAGTATATATTAAAGCCTGAATTATATAAGAATTTAAATATTAATATTAGTAATTAGATATATATTTAAGAAATTTTAATAATATAATAAGTCCTATTTTGTTACTTACTTATAATAATAAGCTTAAATTTATTATCAAAAGAGTTTTGAAGCTTAAAACACTTTCTTAAAGACCTAATTTAAGTTAAAGCGCCAAAATTAATCTATATATATGTATAATATTATTAGATAAAATTTCAAGAGTTAGCTCCACTTTTATACTAGCTTTAATATAAGGGGATAGCTTATTTAAGCTAACTATATAGTTATTCTAGAGCAAATTGTCACTCTTGAATAGAATAAGGATCGCGTTTTAGTTAAAGATAATAATAAGCCTTATAGTATTAAGGGCAAAGGTCTTAACAAGATTAAAGCACTTAAGGACCTTTTAGAGATCAAATAAGATATAAACCTTGCTAATTCGCCAGATCTCAACCCTATTAAGACTATCTGAAGGATAATAAAGCAGCGCTTAAAGTCTAGGGGGGTTATCTTTAAAGAAGCTGTGTTGCGTCAAGCTATCTAGAAGGAGTGAGATAAAATAATTATTAAGGAGATTAATAGGGCTATCTCAACAATGCCAGATAGAGTAGCTGCCTTAAACAAGCGAAATGGGCGCCCTATCCCCTATTAAATAGCTGTGTAGCATAGCAGGAATCTGAGAAGTCTCATAAATTTTGGCGCCAAGCTTCGGGCCGCCTTGCAGCGGGAACTGGCTAAGCGAACGACCGCGAATCGATTAAAAGAATGTCCGAGATGATATCCTACTCTTTCAACAATCCAAAAGTTACGCGCCCCTTCGCCGCAAGCTGCCACAAGGGTGTGGCTGGTGCGGGTCGGCCGTCCTCCTGCTAGGGGATCGCGAGATATCATCGTGTTCGAAGCCGCCACACTGACAAATCAACCCAGGTTACCTCTTCTTCAAGTACCCTGCAAGTATCCCTTTCTTTGCTCGAGTTTGCCTTCTTACTACTAAGTACTGTTTTTAGTCTTACCAGATCTAATTTATTTAAACATAATTGTTGGATTTAGAATTATTAGATTTCATGTTAGCGGGTTGGTGGAGACTATTGGGTCTGCTTAGGAAGAAGCAGGAGGGCATTGCAGTAGCGGTGTGCTCGCCATGATTCTAGTTCAAACTTAACTCAAGGATACTAAGTTACCATGGAAGTAATAGACGGGCCTAGCAAGGTATTAGATCTAGGATAAGGATTCATGTTACACGAGGAACTACTACGGTACTGGGCATAAGTATTCGTAGTACGGCGCTAGTATATTTGCACCAAAACAGGCTGTGAACCAGACATCTAAGCCTTGAACAGTTAGCGGTACTGGTGTGGCCAATTGATATGAACAATGGCCAAAGAAGCTTCTAGGTATTGATGTGGCGCTGTATCCGAACTAGCTGCTACTAGCGCCGTGCTACGACTACTTATGCCCAGTACCGTAGTAGAAAGGCATAAACCAATTACTACCTTCTAGAACTAAGGGGTAAGTTAGATCGATGAATGAGAAAGAGGCAGAGCAATAAACGTACTATTTGTTAGAATCCCTGTGTATATGATACGTATCTGTTACGTATTAGCATGATGGTACAAGGGTCCCCGCATGCAAAACGCACGAAACGCTCTTGTAATTGTTACGCCCTGTTATTTATAGCAGTGAGCATTGCTATACGAATTGAACGCCAAATGCTGTTTCTGAGCTGTTATAGTAATGCGCTTCTATAGCTATTAGTATGAGCAAATGCTCCTCTTGATAGGAGTAACTCAATCAAGTGAATTGGCACCTCCGTACGCTGTTTGCTACTACTTCTAACACTATTAATGCATTATACTATACCAAAATAGAGGGGAAGAGGGACGCCTAAGCTATTCTGTATTGCCCGAATTATCTCGCCAAGTTGATTGTCATGCGTGCAACTTGAGGAAATTCGTCTAGAACCGATGTTAACAAAAACTCTATCAGAAACACACCAGTATACATGTTCCTGAAAGCTTATCTGAAGCAAAGCTTCGTATAAGGGTTTAACACATGGTCTGAAGGCCTCTAATAATAGCGACGCAGGATTGACAAGCGCCTCGATTGCTTCCCGTCGGACGTCAATATCTTTATCCTTGAGTCGTGCTGCGATGCCTTGTAGCACCTCCTCTGTGAGATTAGCCCGGCCTTCAAGCGCCTTGATTGCTGCCCATCGAACCTGCCAGTCCTCATCCTCGAGCCGTGCTGCGATACCTTGTAGCACCTCCTCTGTGAGATCAGCCTGGCCTTGGAGTGCCGCGATTGCTGCCTGTCGGACGTACCCATTTTCATCCTTGAGTCGTGCTGCGATGCCTTGTAGCATCTCCTCTGTGAGATTACCGCGGCCTTGGAGCGCCTTGATTGCTGCCTCTCGGATGTACCCATTTTCATCCTTGAGCCGTGCTGCGATGCCTTGTAGCACCTCCTCTGTGAGATCAGCCTGGCCTTGGAGCGCCTCGATTGCTGCCCGTTGGATGCCACCATCTTTATCCTCGAGCCGTGCTGCGATGCCTTGCAGCATCGTATCCTGTAACATCGTGTCCCGTAAGGCCTTATGGTGGTGTCTTAGGATACGCAAGATGGCAATACACAGGTTCTTAGAAGTACAGTCTTCCAGCCAAGAAACTGCGACGCTTATGATACTGGGTGGAACTGATGCTCGGCTGTCTAGACATCCCAGAAGGATCGGTCTTGCGTCCTCCGATGCTTGTTTCAGTGCATTGACCAGGACCTGCTCTGGACACTCCATTTCGCGAGCCAACCAGCAATCTTGCGTGGAGTCGCACTCGAACAACAGCCACTGTTCTAGTTGTTTTTCTAGCTTCGTTCGGAGTTCCATGAACGTCGTCTTCTTCCGCTCGACTTCGCTCAGGCAATGCATGACCAAGCGCTGATGCGTAGGACCCAGGACGTCGCGCGGCTCCTCTTCAATCGCTTGGAAGAACCCCAGTGCCTCTCTATCAGGGTCAAGTAAGCCAGCGACGAAGCGCCAGAAGATATCGTAGCGAGGATCGTACTTGTGCTCCCGAAGAAAAATGGCAGTTTCAATCGGGTCACATTCCCCTTCGCTGAGCCGCAGCCATTTAAGGGGTTGTTTGGCTTTCCACTGTCGTACGAAATACCGTGCTGCAAAGTACTCCTGGAAGGTGAGGTGTAGGAAGTGGTAATCGCGGCTGTGTTCTTCCGACCAGGATTCCGATGTTCGCAGAAAAGAGAGGCGCGGAAGCGTTGTGTCCCAAGGAATCCACTCGTCAGTCGATTTAAACTCCTCTAAAATGGCTTCCTGATGCTTCGGCTCAAAGTTTATCACATCGTTACACAGGCCAGTAAACGCAAGGCTTTCAAGAAGAACGACTTCGTTACATACGAGGGTTTCGATCCGATTCATCTTCTCGTTCTTGATATCATCCTTCGTTACCAGCTCGCCGTGCTTCTTCTCTTTACCTAATCGCAGGATATCCTTCTTCCACAAACTCTCCTCGATGGCTTTGTACATGGCTGTCATGGTCTGTGGTACAGCTTTGCCTTTGAGATTGTCCCATATGTAACAGAGCGCATCCAGTTGTATGGGAATCCGCACAAGACCCTGGATTAGCTGATGCGCTTGGAGGTATGACTGAATATCTTGGACCCTTTTCAGATCGGTGGTAAATGTAGTTTGGAGGTATGCCTTCACCTGATCTGGGTAGAAACCAATGGTTTCCAGTTCAAGGTCGGGAGGCGAGACATTAGCTGGAAGTGACACGTGCGGTCGGGATGTGATGACAACGTTAGGCTGATGTAAAAGGTCCTTGAGGAACTCGGACTTGTAGCCTTCGCAGGCCAACTCTTGGGCTATTTCGTCCAGACCGTCGAGAATGAACAGAGTCCTTCCGCTTTTGAGAGCACCCCGTAGTTCTTTGGCGAGGATATCGCGTGTTTCACGGTCCTGTTGAGCGAAGAACTCGCGAGAAAATAGTTCCTCAAAGTCATATTGTGTAGCTTGCCATTCTTTCAGCCTCCGTAGAGGCACCCAAAGCACACGGTCGAACAGCTCGTCCCACTTGCGGAAGTCTTTGGAACGACGGGCAAACTCATGGACCATCTTCTTGCACAGGGTAGTCTTCCCGACTCCAGCGCGTCCCCGGATTAGGATTCGTCTTGATTCTGCCGTCTGGCCGTTGGAGTCTTTGCGTGGGTCGAAGAGGGACGGTAACTCGACCTGGACATTCTTTTCCGGCGTCTCAACACTAAGTCGAGCGGTGAGTGAAAAGGGTGACACATGAGGTGATACATCCTCTCCCGATCCTTCCTCTGCGTGCTGAGCATTTTTCCTGGGCTCCTCGACAATGGCGAGATTGATGTAGCACTGATCCAGCGAAAGTAAGTCGCTCGAGAGTCGCTCGATCTTGAGCCTGTCCTCGCTATAGTGGTTGGCGCGTATCCAGGCGTCTGCTTGCTGGACCGGACTGCCCTCACGGATCTTTTGGAGCATCTCCACAATCTTGCCAGACACACGGCCGAAATCCTCGCTCTCCGTGCAGCCCTTCTTGCACTCTGTACACTCGCTATGCGCGAACTTGTTCATCAAGATATGGGGTCGACTTAACGGTAGTGGCTGTGGAAACATGTCCAGCGTCGCTGAGGACTCATTGACCAACTGATCAACGTTAGTACTCCTCGCATCCGATAAACAAGATGGGATAAAACATCAAAGCCTTACCAGCTTTGCTTGGCGGAGCCACGCCGGTAGCCAAGGAAACACTTTGCTCGGAAGACTCGTCTTGCCCTTTTCATAGAAGGTGAAGACATGGCACGGATAGTCCTTGTCTTTACACAGCGAAGTGAAGTCCTGCACAAGTTGCACGAGATCGAGAGTCGGCTCCTTCACGGCGGTAAGCAGTTTGATCACTTCTCGGCCTCGGATCCAAGCCCAAGCATTCAGACCTGGTTCGGCTAAGGCGGCTACATCTTGGAACGAAGTCCCGCGGAACGGTGTGGCGAGAAAGACGATGCCGCGGGTAGCTCTCCGGACGGACTGGTATGCCTGGCCGGCGTCCACAAGTGCCTTCATCAAGAGAATCCCGCCGAGACACGAGGCGATGAAGAGAATCGGCCGGTCTTCACTTCTCGCGGGGTCACCCGTGATCTGGATTCGGCGGATCTCCTCGAATAGGAGTATAGCAAACTCGCCCTGGTTCTTCTGAACCAAGTCTGATGGTTGCAGCAAATCGGCGGGCCAGTCATATGTGAAGATTCGGACGCGTTTGACTCGGCTTGGGAGCATGTCGCGATCGGCCAGCCAGTTGACTTTGCAGCCATCTCCCCGCCATGTCCACGTCTTCTCTGAGTTCGTGTCGAGGCCATGGATGGCGATGATGTCGATATCTGGGCCGGGACCGTCCCCCTTAGGGTCGTCCTCCGTAGGGTAGACCTGGCAAAGGCCGGGTCCTCGTCGCGAGGATAGTGTTGGATCTTGGGCGCGGCGTGTCTGGCGCGAACTGCACTCTGGCCGACGCTGTCGCGATGCATCTGCATGCGCGAGCGTACGGAGGAGCCACAGACAAGTGACGATCGTTCCTCCGGCCAGGACAAGATAAAAGACAATTGTCCATTTGGCCGAAAAAATGGCCTGGCTGACGTTGGCTAAGGTCATTGCCGCAGCAAGGCGCAAAGTCTAGCGTGCACGGGCGAAGCGTAACAGCGGGGAATCCCGCACGACGGCTTGCGACGCAGTCCTTGAGGCGGGCGCTGTTGCGTATTTCAACTTAAGTTAACGATGATTGAGAGGAGCGCCTTGATAATCACAGAGGTGCGTGATGTCGAGACATACGCGTGCAGGCCATGCGGCCTAATTGCTCGTTTTCGTCCAATTAAGCTGTGCCACATACTTATATCTATTTTCGTGCATGGCCTGGAGCCAACCACATGTGATTGCACGCATTTTCCCATACTCCTCACTATATGACCATAATTCACACCGCCAGCGAGACACATTTCACATTGCTCTGCTCTTGCGAGGCTGGTTTCATCTGGACCATCTATCCTCAAGTCCTTCTACTCATCCCAGCCATCGCAGACAAATGTTTCTTACACCCTCGCGAAGCGGCATTCAAAACAGCCCCGTGCAACAACTAGCTCCTTCGCTTCCCCAGATCCCATGGCTCCGCCAGATCCCCCACTCTGGCCAGTACACTATCAGCCCTACCAACCATCAAGCGTCCAACACACTGAGATAACATATATAGGTCACAAGCGAGGTGCTCAGGCAGGAGAAGGGTGCGGGCACCACCGATATCCTGCCGGCTACCTATCACTACCATGATGCCGCTGGCAGGCGCGTTGTCGGCGATCCGGCGGAGGACACGCCGGCGTTCTTACGGAGGGAACTGTCCCTCGGGAGCCTCGTCGACATGCTGAGGCATCTGTGGTTTGCCGGCGCGAAGCGTCCTGCCATGCCGCTGCACTTTCATATCGCCATGGGCCGAGAGATCGTCGTCGTCGACCGGATGGACTTGCACCTCCTCTGGACAAACGAGGGGAGACTCTTCGTCAAGCCCGTCCCGCATTTCCTTCTCGATCCGGCCTTTTGCCGGATCAACCTACAGTGTCCTAAGGCTTGCCCGTGCGACACTCCAGCAGATACATGCCGGACAACTCCGCGGAAAGTCGCCCTCGGCTTCCTTTATACCTACGCCTGTCTCCTATCATCGGAGAGCGACTTCCACGTTGCCAACGAAAAGCGCCTCTTGCCTCGCAAGGAAGACGACAAGCCGATCGAATGGACAGACTGGAAGACCCTGGCCCGGGAGCTGCTCCGAATGCACGAGCGCGACCCGCACCCACGCTTTCTGCGCGCCGAGCTCCGCCTCTCGCGCATAAACACGATCCACCGCTTCACGCGCCTCCCGCGCTTCGACCCCTACCTCCGCAGTCGGCACAACTACGGCAGCCTCTTCGGTGACAACCTCGCCTGGATGACCGCCGCCACCGTCTTCGTTGCCCTGGTGCTGACCGCGATGCAGGTCGGCCTTGCCACGGAGCGGCTTAAGGACAACGCCGCCTTCCAGCAGGCCTCGTACGGCTTCACCGTCTTTGCCATTCTAGGTCCCTTGTGCGCGTTCGGCCTGGTGGTCCTAGGCGCGTTGTTTCATCTCGTCAAGGACCTGCCGTTGCTTCTCGGAAGACAGCGCACTTGCAGGGAGGTCGACCACACTATGTCCAACACCAATCTGGACGACGCGGCCTAGAATAGGTACCTGACCCTAGGTGCAAGACTAGCTACGGCGCAGTGAGCGCAGAGTCGTTCTAACTTTGTCGCACAGCCCAGTTTCCTGACTCCCTCGAGCCCGAAACCACGTCCGACGATTTTAACGTTAATAGCGAGATACATGAAGTGGGACGGATTATGCACAGGGAGGTTAAGATACGATGGAAAGGATTCAGCCCAGCGGACGGTGGAAGATAGAAACGGACCTTGGGCACGTACAAGGGCTGGCGGATAAACACCAGGAGCGCAACTGGGGCATGCTAGCTCAGGAACGGGAAAAAACAGGCTGTCGCCGACATCAGACGACGTGACAGACCAAAATACCATAGGAGACAACGTGGATAGTGTTAGCGCGCTGAAGCGCAAGCGAGGATAGCCCAAAGAAAGGCGTATGAAAACCATTTGTGAATATGACCAGCAGGTTGAACACTAGCTAGTGCCAGCGACACAGAGTCCAGACAATATAGCGTTTATGACATGAGTAGAAAGGACTTGTTGGACGTCGAGGGATAGCAATCCAAGCGCTTCAAGGCCGGGCCAACCTGACAGAAGAGGTGATACAAGCCATCGCAGCACGGCTCGAGCATGAAGACGGGGACGTCGGAGGGGCAGCAATCCAGGCGCTTCAAGGCCGGGCCAACCTCACAGGCGAGATGCTACAAGTCATCGCAGCACGGCTCGAGGATAAAGATTGGAACATCCGACGGGCAGCAATCAAGGCGCTTCGAGGCCGGGCCAACCTGACAGAGGAGGCGCTACAAGCCATCGCAGCACGGCTCGAGGATGACAAGTGGAGCGTCCGAGGAGCAGCAATCCAGGCGCTTCAAGGCCGGACCAACCTGACAGAGAAGATGCTACAAGGCATCACAGCACGGCTCGAGGATGACAAGTGGGACGTCCGAGAGGCAGCAATCAAGGCGCTTCAAGGCCGAGCCAACCTGACAGAAGGGATTTTGCAAGCCATCGCAGCACGGCTCGAGGATGAAGACGGTGGCGTCCGACGGGCAGCAGTCGAGGCGCTTGTGGATCAAGCGTCGCTACCGTTAGAGGTCCTTAGCCTATATGTCAAATCCTTATACACGGCTTTGCTACAGAGAAGCTTCCAAGAACACCTATACTTGTGCGCTTCAGATAGCGTTTTCATTGGGGTTGGTCTTAGACATGTTTCTATAAGTTACAAGCAGGAACAGCAGCCTAGCGCCGAGATGTGGGACATACGGAACTACCTAGATGTTCATCCCCCACCTCTTAGGATATAGTATAGCGCGTCGATAGAGTAACAGTTGCCAAGCCTCTGTCGCCTACATCTCTCTGCCCTTTCATCGGTCAAGAGGACGATGCATTTGTCTTTCGATTCTGGCCCCTTCTATGCGCATCGGTAGCTAGTGACCTGTTTTTGGAAGACTAGAGAACAGCATGTGGCGGTGAGAAGGCGAACTGGGACGAAGAAAGGGCACGAAAAGGGTACTTAAGGAGAGGTAGCCCAGTACGAATCTGTCAGCATGGGCGGCTTCGAACACGATGACATCTCGCCATCGCTAGCAGGGAGAATGGCCGACCCGCACCGGCCACACCCTTGCCATGAACGTCTAGAATGGATGGCGTTAGGAAGGGATATAAGGATCATTTCTGTTGGCAGAGGATGGCATTCAGCCCTGGGTAGCGTAATGCCTGGCCAAGCATAGCCGCCAGCACAGCTCTGCTCTACCGTACCCAGTCATCACGAACATGAACTATCCGAACTCATAACCCTTAGAGGTCAAACTGGAGCACATCTCTACAACCCTAAAGATTGCAGTGCTCATGCAAGGAGCTGTTAGTTGTTTGACCGTACAACAACTATATCACCCAAACATATCGAGCCTTTCTACTTCCGTATGTGCTTGTAATAACGGCGTTCTGCTAGTGACGCTTAACCTACTGGCTAAAGCGCAGGCTTCAATTTCAAGGCTGCCGCACTCTATTTTATCTTATATCCCTCCTATCTCATTGTGTTCCCCTTCAACAAGCTAAGACTAGATCTCGGCTGCTGCTTAGTCTAGGAATCGGCGCTGGTGGGCTCGAGAAGCATGAGGACGTAGTAGCTTGAGCAGGTCTTTCGTTTAGTTAGCAGAGGGGATATTAGCGGGTTTCGGCGCTTGAGGGCGACGTGATAGTATGTTTCCACGTTACGAAAGTACGTATCGCTGTGCGTTAGACCGCATCTCGAAGTTGTATGATAGCGCTGTCGAGCGGTTTCGACGCTGAGACGCGTTGGCTGACTAAATAAGCGCCGAGCCCTCTAAGTCGTAACACTACTCCTAATCTCGAGCTGGATTTAATTACATTCCGAGCGCTTGTGTGATCCGCACAGCCACATATCTTACAATAGAATACCTGCGGATGTATAAAATAGGATGTAGGGTTATCTTGCATTAGCTAGGATTAGTAACTCAGTTCCGCTAGAAGTACTAATCGCTGTAGCGACCCTGCATGAATTTGCCCGCGACAGCGCACACAAGGCTAATAATGACTTCCGAGCATTAGAGAGAGGTTTTAAGGCTCAGACAAGGCTATTCTACGAAAATTCGGAGCGATAAAGGCTTGACGTTGGTGCTATAGGGAGGGAAGTCTGTTACGCTACGAAAGAAGGCGCTGTACAAATCAGGTGCGGAGGCGACGATGCGAAGGTAATTTTTAGAGAAGCGTGGATGATAGACATTGAGAATTAGCTACAGCAGATTATTTCCTATAAAATTATAGCAATATTCTGTGTGCACAGGGGCTTTACAGTTACTGAAAGTTAAAGTACCCCTCGTTTGTCTCGGCACATAGGGTGTCTCGCCACGTAGGGAGGGATGTTATACAAGATTTCTATAAGCCGTACTGTCATGTCGCTCCTCTTAGGAATCGAGTTGATCCATCAAATATAGCCCAAGCAACCACTTGATTCCATGATATAACAGGCTGTATTCGAGAACTGCCCTCCTAACTAGCCCCAGCCACAAATGCAAGCAGACTCCGTTGTCGCAGAGATTGTAGCTACGTGCAGGCCTTCCAGGTGCGTCCCCTGTATAATCACTACGTGATTCGAACTTCTGCCCTAGCAATTACCTCTCCCTCCCTTTTCCCTGTGCCGAGCAGCAGCGTGACGACTGCCTCGCATCTGTTCTCAGCTAGAGATGTTCGAGCGGAGGGAGGTGTTCGAGCGGAAGGACCGTACGAGTATCGGTATCCAATAGGTGCGGTGGTGGCAAAGCAGTTGAGATGTAACCTTAGTTTTCACTCGCTAAGCCCAGTTTGGATTAGTCTGTATGCTAGTAGAGCGCTAAACTCTTGTTTTGCCGTCTGAGCCCGCTCCATGTTTGCCCTCCACGTTCGCCCTCCACGTTCGCCCTCCACGTTCGCCCTCCACGTTCGCCCTCCACGTTCGCCCTCCACGTTCGCCCTCCACGTTCGCCCTCCACGTTCGCCCTCCACGTTCGCCCTCCACGTTCGCCCTCCACGTTCGCCCTCCACGTTCGCCCTCCACGTTCGCCCTCCACGTTCGCCCTCCACGTTCGCCCTCCACGTTCGCCCTCCACGTTCGCCCTCCACGTTCGCCCTCCACGTTCGCCCTCCACGTTCGCCCTCCACGTTCGCCCTCCACGTTCGCCCTCCACGTTCGCCCTCCACGTTCGCCCTCCACGTTCGCCCTCCACGTTCGCCCTCCACGTTCGCCCTCCACGTTCGCCCTCCACGTTCGCCCTCCACGTTCGCCCTCCACGTTCGCCCTCCACGTTCGCCCTCCACGTTCGCCCTCCACGTTCGCCCTCCACGTTCGCCCTCCACGTTCGCCCTCCACGTTCGCCCTCCACAGTTACCCACCCCTATACTTTTTCCTCAAGGTAGGTCAGCTGTCATCCTTGCTAGCGTGATCAAGGCGTTTTTTCTGCTTCTAACGAGGCTTACGTAGCGCATCTTGTCACTTGATCCAGAGGATACTCGAAGCTTTGCTGTAGCAAATTAGCACCTTGGTTCCGGGTCTATTTTTAGTTCAGAAAAATAGGTCTTACATGTGACTGACCAAAGTAGACTAGCCTATGCATTCAGCTCGTACATATCAGCGAGTCCTGGACTAGACCTGAAAACAGGAACCAGAATACCGAAAACTAGCAGGAGTCAAAAATAGGACCTAGAAAACACGCCTAGACCCCTGCTACAGTACTACAGAAACAGAGGACCGGTTTAGGAAATTAGCAGCCGCGATTGAGGGCCTGGAAACAGGCAACTCGATTCGAAACCCAGACATCGCACGCAGTTTAGTGTACGCAGAATCAACAGTTGATGCCTTGATATCCAGCACCTGGTGCTGACAGGGGTCGAAAATAGGTACCAGAGAAGCGTGCTGACAGGGCTCGAAAACGGGAAGCAGAATACCATGCGGAGGTCCTGTAACGTTATACTGCTTATGGAAACAGAGGGCTAGTTTAGGAACCCAGCAGCCGTAGGCAAGGGCCCAAAAATGAGCACCTCAAATTCGATATGCAGACCATTTCATAGATTATATATGTGTAGACTAGCCCGTCCTAATTGGAGCCCTATAGTCATGTCGTCGCAGCAGCTATTACAGGTACTATCGCACTCTAAGGCCAGGCGGGCTGCGAACAACAACTACCTAAAGCTATGCAAAACCCTCAATGAAAAATTAGCCAAGTTAAGCCTAGAATACGACACTCACGTATATTTTCTAGCATATCGCAACGGCTGGTTTAATGGATTCGTATCAACAGACAAGACAGGCCAGCCTTGGTCGCCTCCAGGCCAAGAAGCTCTTGTAGGTAAGCCCCTCCTTCCGCAACGATTACGACCTGACTGTTATCAAGGATAAGCTATACCCTCCACCAATAATCAAGTCGCCAGCTCATTGCTGTCGAGCTCAACAAAAACGAGTAAAGGGACCTTCCGCACGTCAAATGCACAGGAACGTTCAACTAAATGCGGCGAAACCTCGGCAAATTATCTCTGAACACCGTGATAGACACTGCCCTATAGCCAAGCTAATAACAAAGGCAGTGCAGGGGGCCAAGTCAATCGTAACCTTAAAGAAAGCCTATCTACAATCTCCTCCCCTTCTATCTTGTTCATTCCAGGTGCTCCAAATCCCCAATCCTGAAGCCAGCACTTTGCAAGTATATATTTTTCGCTTGTGTCCCCCATTCGTACTGCTTCTTCGCCAAATAACGACCATGCCAGATAAGCCATTTCTTCAGGTCAATGTCCCCTTGTTGTATAAATTTGTTGGTCTCCTTAGCCCATCTTTTGAAATCGTTTAGCAATTTAACATGCGTATCTTCTAGAGCCTCAAGTCTAGCTTCAAGACTATTATTCCTTTTGTTCAAGGTTTTCATAGACTTAACTACAAGATTAGCTTGAAGCAAGCCTTCTGTTGTTAAGATTGAGCATTTTCCCTTTATATGTATTAGTAGTCCGCTCTTTTGCTTAGGCATAAGCATAGCTTACTTTTCTAGTAGTCTAGGTGCGGGTGCGCTGCCTCTTCCGGTTTAGCCCCGCCCGATCAGGGTTGGCGCCCCCTCGCCGCTTGACCTGAGTATAAAGAGCTCGCTGCTCCCCGATCCCCTCGGTCGTTCTTTCTCTTTTGTCTTCTAACCCTCCCTTCTTCCCCCTTTGCTTCCCTCTCAGCTGGCCTCCCCTTCTGGCTTGTTGCGCCGCCGCCTCCGGGCCCTGTAGCGCAGAGCGTAGATCAGCTTCCCGCCTCCAACTGACCTTTTCCTCCCACCTTCGTGCTCTCATTCGACGCTTCCCCGGTCGATTGATCCAACCGTTGGCCTGGGCGTGGACGGCGATACGATGCACAGTCAGCTCTATCAGACTTAGTGGCTGGCGGTTTATAGGTAGCACCCTTATTGACATCCTGCTCTCAGTATCTCACCTCTTTATTGGCTCTTGACCTACACCTCCCTTGTCTGAGCCACCGGAAACACTATAGCGGGATCCTGTGTCGGTCGGTCTCTCCCTCCCTTGCTCGTACGACCTTCTCCAGACTTGGTATCCAAATTCGATAGATATTCGTTGAATCGTAACCCACCAAGTATCCAATGTGTGCCCTAGGATGTAGCTTCTGCATACGCGGAGAGCTTGATCAATGGTCGACATTGCTTTTTACCACCTTAGTGAGGGAATACTCGAGAATGATACTGACTGTCCCAGATCAGGAGTCGTGAAGCTGGAACTTCAGGGCATATAGTCTATCCACTTACGTATAAGAGAGCTTTAACTATCAGGCGTGAGGGTGGTCAATATTGTATTACCCAGCCAGAAGTCAATATATTGTCACGACGTTCACGTATATACTCAACTCATCCGATATTTGAAAACCCTCCACCACCGATCAATCCGTCATGCTCATTATCTTGTTCCGCAGCCTGGAAGATCAGCGCGTCCGGACCCGAGTAACCGCCCTCTGCTCTGCCCGGTATTTCCTCACCAGCTTAGGACCCACTGATGCCTTGGGCAACCAGATCTTGGTGACAGCGGTGACTTCATACTCCAATCCCGACTCGCCGACGATCTGGTGAACCTCATACTCCTGGTCGCCCTACGGTGGTGGGTCGCCGTGTGCGCTGCCAGGCACTTGAATGCCCTTCGCCGCCATTGCGGACGCGGGTGAAGGCATGTTTTCGGCGGCTTCCAAAAACAGTCCCCCTAAAACAGTCCCCTCCAAAAACAGTTCCTCTAAAACAGTCACCCTAAAAGACTACTCATACATGTTGCCTAGAGGCGGCTCTAAGGGCTATCAATAGTACAATAGCTTGTCGCACAACGATCTGTAGTACTACAACTCTTACTACAACAGCATGTAACGCGACAACTAAACCCTATCCCGGCATTGTGAAACTCCCTGCGTGATGAAATTTGCTTCAGGTACATCGAGTTTGAACGCTTCATGCTCTCAATCTATTATATCTATCAATGGAAGAAGCATTTCTGAGTCATCTGGAGGCACTTTTCTAAACATAGATACTATCGGCTTGGATTATCAGAGAAGTGGACAGTTTACAAGATCACCAAAAACGTCTACGGCATATGGATAACTCTACATCTAAAGAGAGTCTGCTCAGTCATCGATAAGTTGCCACCTGATATCAAGTTTGATATTTTAGAGGCAACTTTATTTTCATAATCAGAATCTCAGAGCTCTTAGCAATCAAACGCCGATTACACAGAAATGCTGGAGAGAAAAAAATAGTCTTGTAGGCTCGCAAGAAGCGACACCAACCACGTCCTTACTCAAATAACCGAGCGAGCATCTAAGAAGCCAAGTAAATCAGCGCGCTGCGGAGCAGCAGCGCTGAAATGTCAAAAAGGAAGTATTCTCGAAGTATTCTCGAAATATTCTCGAAGTATTCCCGTTCCCAATCTTCCCATCCTCGAATTACAAGGGCTTTTTTACGAGGCGCCCATGATTAACGACTAAGGGAGTGCGGTAGGCGGAATACTGTTCAAGTCAAGTCTATTGATTGAAGTAAAATGCAGTTCTGCTTCCTTTGATAGAGACCGTCAAATTGCCCGCGGTATTCGTACCTGAACCTTGATCGCGCATCGGGCCTCTAGTTGGGTTGGCCCTGTTTTTGCTGGCCCTACTTAGGAATCTAGTCACCCGGGCCCTCAACCTCGGCTCAGCCTCTGCTAAGGCCGCACCGCCCACTGCTCCCTCTCCTCATCCCTCTTGCTCACCCCCTCCGTCCGGGTGCTGCTCAGTCTCACTTCTCCTTATACTTAGTCCCGCTTCTGAGCCCTTGCTATTATTGGCGGAACCATGCCTTGCCGCCTTCCCTAAAAAGGTTTGTTCCAATTCTACGCGAAGGGGTCTGGCGGCTCAGTTCTGGGGACCTCTATGCGGAAGGCGCATTGAATCCTCATACGAAGTGTATCTAGACTCGCATATTGTACTTACCGGATAATATAACGATTTTCAATATTATTAATATTCCCATTTCTTTATCTCCTCTCTTTTCCATTGTTTGTGTATATTTTTATTCCTATTTTTATCTATCTCAGTCTGTCAGACCTCGGCTCGTTCTCGGCTCGCTCTCGAGTGGAAACGCTCTCTTTTCTCGTAGAATTGCAATGAACAACTATTTTCATCAATTCCTTGGCACCGCAAGTTGATACATTCTTTACCCTTGCATGAACTTAAATGAACCCATATCTGAAACTCTCTCACCTCAATCCCCGCCCCCGCCCACCACCCCCAGCAAACTCCGCACCTCTTCCCCCGCTTTCCTCCCTCCTCATCACAATAACCAGTACCACCATCGCCAGCTCTAAGAGCGGCGTCGGTACACCACCATTGCCCAAAAGCGCGTACCCGGAATTCTCGGACAACGCGTTAGGAGAGATTTTGAGGATGGTTTTAAGCGAGTGGCCGAGCCAGGTATTTGAGGTTAGTTTTCGCACAGATCTCCTGGGGGCGTAGTAGGTGAGGAGGGGTTGGATGGGGCGGGGTTTGGAGACCGGGACGAGCTGTTTGGACAGAGATATGAGAAATGTGAGGAAGTGGCGATGGGTGAACATGGAGGATTTTGCTTTGGAAATTGAGAGGAGGGGATGGGATGGGTTTTATTGGGTAAGGAGGAGGAGGAGGAGGACGACGACGACGACGGATGATGGTTATTCTGACATGACTTACCTGCCATTGCTGCGAGACGGATTTCCATTTCATCTTCTCTCCTTGGGGTGTGAAGAATGTTCTGGTACTATAATTTATTTCTCAGACACTCGGAATTAGCCCCAGCTAGTTGACTTACAATGAGCTGCACTCAATGAGGGCAACCAGAGAAGAAAGGACCCGACAATGACGAAGGATTACTCACGGTCCCCCACCTGTCCCATTACTGTGAATCATCTCCTTCTGCTTCTCCTCCTTGCCGTTCAAGGTCACTTTGTCTCCTTTGAAGACTGCCAGAACATTGCCGGCATCCTCGCTGCCTCGGTAGATAGTCGTGATGTTGTAGTGGAAGAGGTGGATTTCGTGGATCGTGGTGAAAATAGGTTGGTCGAATTTGTCCAAGGTTTGGGATTTTCGGTCCGAGATCTTGAAGACGCGGAGTTCGGTCATGGCTAGAGGCGTAGATTTTGGTCACCGTGGTTGACTCTACTGTGGTGGAAACAGAGCAGCAAAACTTTCATATACTCGTACACGAGGTTGATCGAAGCTAATAAGTCGCTTGGTGGAATAAACGTGCCGCGTGTTCACGAGGCTGAGAGTGTGTGGTCTGATTGAATGCGTCTTGCTTACGGGATCAAATTCATATCAAGCAAGATATTTTTCTTAGTATACAAGTGAGTGAAAGTCCGCGTGGCGAAGAAGCTGAGGAGGCATTGCGAACAAGACAAGCTGGACAAGTTAGCCAGGATCTGGAGCCTCTACAGCGTTCGCAAAATGCAGTACGAAACCACAACGGTTGTACAACCGTCACAACGCAACGTCACAACGCAACGAGGGTAACCGTACAACGCAACCGACGGAACAGCGACCTCACAACCGTTGTGACGGTTGTACAACGGGATAAATATAGCGCCGGTGCCGTTATTAGCGTCGGTTTGCGTGGTTGGCTGACAATTATGAGGCTTGTTGGGTCATGTCTTCGGACAGCCCACTCCAACATTCACATTCGCAGCGTCACGGCAACTGTTGTGTTGAAACTGATAAACAAAGTCGTGATAAATTTTTCATGTTCCTCATGCCAAGATTTTTCAATTTTGATAGTGCTATAGCTGATATTTCATAATGATTGACAACGCTGAGCCTTGGTGGTGGGCACCAGACAGTCATTACTTATGAAAGCTTATACCACCCCAGCAGAGACTTCTCGGCGGCACCTAGTACTAGATCCCATTCAATGAAAAAGTAGTTAACTATCAGTAGAATGTGGCTGGGAAGCTAGCCATCTTAGCCTTAGCCACTGATGATTAGTATTTTAGGTCATCTAAGTCTTAGTAGGCTTTTAGGGCTCAAGATTAGTGATGATAGGACTTGCGAGATGAGATTATGCTTTATGAGTAGCATTTTAAGTATCTGCAAAAGCAAGCAACACTCAGGCACAATTGGATGCTGACTAGTTATACTATTAATTGGTGGTTCAACCGGCTAAGAGACGCTAGTAGCGCCACACCATCCAAGGGGTCAACTACTTTTGACGGCACGACTCCGTATCATCACACCCCATAGATATTAGTCTCCAAGACGCTGCAGGTGATCCATTATGAAGTAACCGTGTTTCAGAATGGAACCATGACGCTCTTGGGAGATGACGGGTATATCAATTGGTGTTTCGAGGGCAATCATAATAGGATGGATAATTATGTCGAATTTCAACCCTATTACGGCAGACTACTAGGCGCAGATTTCATACTAGCATACTCCGAACACCGAAAACGTCTAGGTATCTCCTCATCCTTGGCGAAGTCTGCTGTCAGCTTACTACGGTAGGAGGCATAAGTATTGTCAGCGTAAGCTAGTGATGGCTAGGTTTTGATACAAGAGTCGGGCGTCCTCCGGAGCTATTGTAAGTCTTGACCCCTTAATAATCCTGATGATTGGCTCTGTGCTGAGAATCATACAGACTAACGGCGTTTCGGTAAAGTGCAAAATCGTTAAGGCTGTGTTAAATACAAAATTTCTAGCTTGAAGCTAACAATACCTATGCCTCCTGCCGTAGTATATCTCGAATTCTGAGCTCAAAATGTAATTACTTTCCCTTCTTGATCTATTGCAATCTTCGTGCACGCTGTGCTTCGTACCTCCATAATCATCTACTATATACACATCCGCGATTGAATTGGATAGCTCCTTGGAACCATCTGCCTTGCTGGGTTTGGCTTCCCTCTGAAAGAGGGAGGGTAATCCTGGGCGCCTAGTTGCGCTCGAAATTGCTTACATAAATGCTTATCTTGCAAAGCGAAGCTTGGTGTAGCTACGCTACAATATAGACCGGGTTAGGCCGGGTTTTGGAGGGTTCGGGCTTAACCTGGCCCAAAAACCTGAAGAAGTGGATGGATTGAATTCTATCGACAGAGTATCCCCTCCGTCCCTGGGTGTGCCTATTAGCGTACTTGGCGTAAAATAAGGTTTTTGAGCCGCATTTGATCGCTATAGCTTTCCGCAGCTGGTTTTTAAAATGAATTTTCAACCACCTCTAATGCTACGACCACGTCGAGATACACAAATTCCACTGAGATACAGAGATAACTCACCTCCGCAATTACTATAAAACAACAACCAGTGAAAAAGATGCAGAATTGACCCAAAAAAAGTTGATCGAAATAATGTCGATCAAGCCTTGGCAGTGATAGCACCTGCGCCAGAATGCGCAAATGAACCACTAATACTCATTTCAACAGAACTCCCTTATTTTGAGGCCAATTACATTCAAAATCAAACTAGAGCTTCTTAATATACAGGTTTATTAGAATTAGGCTTTTTTAAGCTCTTTTTTAGCGATTTTGTAATAGAAATCTTCTTTAAAGAGACTAATTTATATATTAAATCTTAGCTTCAGGATCTTTTATATTTTTTTCTTTCTCTCTTATCTAAATATTACTAGGTACCTATTATACTAATAGAAATACATATATTTCTAGACATAAATCTCTATTTTAGCTTATACTTATTAATAGTATAAATAGATTACTAGAAAATTTATAATCTTGATTAATTTATAAGTTAAGATTAATTTAAATTTATTTATTATTATTTTAGTATAAATAGTGCTCCTTCTGCTTTAAATACACTCTAGTTCTATTGAATTTAATATATAACTAACCTTATTTAAACTGCCTATTAAGATGCTTATTATCTCTTTTCTTATATCACTATTAATAAAGCTATAGTCGCCTTTATAGACTGTTTAAGAGATATAATTAAGCTAAAGAATAAGCTTATTAATACTAGTTATAAACTATAATATATTAATGTGATTTATAAGCAGCCCGCCTATATAAGTAACCCGCCTACTTTTCTTCTACTTTATAACCTTCTAACTATTATACACAACTATAACACAAGAAAATCAATTATCTTTTACATTGTTATCTTCCTTAGATGTCTCTTTAACCTCCTAACAGGTTCGTATATTATAGTTGGTCTTGCTATATCTCCTATAATGCCGTAAACCTAATGACCTAGTCTGCGTGATACCCTCTTCCACCGACCTTTTACTTAACTGTGATTATATAATCTCTTTCTACTTAATTAAACTATGTGTATCCTTTATAATAAGTACACCTCTAGCTTATACACGTGTCTTTTTAG